GGGGGCTGTCGCTGTCGTTGCTGCGACATCCTCTTTACCGGTCCTGTTTGCAAGCACGGGCACGCCTTAATTTTTCTAGTTTCATTTGGGAGGCGAGTAGCACGTTCCACATTACTGAGGCAGTTGCAAAATTAAGCATATTCTGGGACTTCTGAAGGGTTTTATGTTACGTGAATAGAAAAACTGTTCTTGACCAGCCTTTGGGAAGCGGCCAGTGAAGGGCAAGGATGCAGATTCTGGCAACCTTGTGCTGGAATGAATCAGTCTTTCCCCAAGCATTGGTATCTTCTTCTTTCTTTTACCAACAATATGTAATTTGCTAATACTGATGTAAGATTGTAATTAGAAAACAGATTGCAGTAGTGTGAGTTGGTCAGGCCAGGGCAACGCAGGCAGATGTTGATGTTGCCTCTGCTTTGGTGGCATCGGTAGCCTTGCCTTTGAATAATGCGTTTAGCGAACTCTCTTTTTATTGCTTTGACTTTTTGCATCCTGCTCGTGGCTTCCTGAGGCTGAGGTATGAGAAAAGGAAAATCCGGCTTTGTTATGAGCTAATAATTTATCAGTTGAGTGCGACAAATAAAATACATGTCATGGTCTGTCTCACTGCCAGAAGGAGTTGCAGCAAATAATGTGCATGGGAGCTATTTCCAAAGAAAAAAGTCACAAGATACTTTTGTAGTGGAGATCACGAAGTACACCCTCTCCCAGCCCCCAGTAAAAAAATCCATCTATAGCATCTCACTGTTTTAAAAAACATCTAGAAATTAGACAGAAGACGGTTTTCTGGCTTGAGAATTAGTTTTAGTTATTTTTCTTAATATTTTCTTCCAGGTACTCGCATTCCTTGCTACAGGGCCCAGACAAAATAATAGCATTTTCTATGAAATGCGCACATACGATATTAAGCCATCGAAGATGAAGGAGTTTGTGGAAATGGTCAACAAGTACTTGCACCTCCGCACAGCTCACTCGGAGCTGGTGGGATTCTGGTCTGCGGAGCTGGGAGCGATGAATAAGGTGGTCCACCTTTGGAAGTACGGTACGCTCAGCATCCCTTTGCACTGCTCTGCTTTCTCTGTGCTCTCTGTCCTCTAGACAAGAAAGCGAGGAGAATGCTTACCCAGCTTTTATTTGTTGCTCTTACAACTCACAAGAAAGTGTCCCAAAAAAGTTTGTTCCTGTACTGATTACTGAAGAGAACACTGCAGAGCCCATCAGGACAATTTTCACATGTTGGAATGAGAGAATTACAGCTATTCTTAACAGCAATCTCTGCTTAAAACAGGTATAATAGAGGAACTGCGGCAGAGTGCTTTGTTCATGGTAAGTGTTTTTGACTTAGGGCCAGTTCCTGAACCACAAATGTCTTCAGAATTTCAAAATGGGTGGAAAGAAGATTGACACCTCTTTAATAAGATAATACATCTAAGTGCAGAAAATCTATATGCACTCTGTGTATGTTTATATACATGTGTAATTGTTCTCAAATTTTAGGTCAGCGTAACAGTCACTCTTCTAAAACAATGATCATGGAGTTTGCATGCTTAAACTTCTTCTGCAGCTGGGCTATGCTGAGGTGGGAAGCCACTCCACCAGCTCCGACATCCCAAGAGCACAAGGTGTTTCGTTGCCCCTTCAGCCTTGGTAGCAACAGGCTTCTTACCGTATAATCAACTTTTTATGTTGTTAGAGTCGGTGCTGACCTGGAAGGTGCTGGTGAGCCAAGAAAAGCTACGGTTATGTGAGAAACTAGGTGTGCTGGCTGTGCGCTTTGTGGAGCCCAAGGGAACTTGATACTTGGGTTCTGGAGAGGTGGGAAGGCACACCGGTGTAATTTCTTTGTGTACCTGCTGCAGTCGAGGGTATATCTGCATGCTGAGACAGAGAATTTTATTTCTGACATCCTCAGTCTGCTCAGTTGAAATCCAGCATGTTCACAGTACCTGTTTAGAATGAAGGGTCACCCCTTTTGTCCTGGAGGGGTGAATGGACCAGTTGTCTGTTGATGGGAATATTATGAGTTTACGTGCGTCTGTGGTTAATAAATTGTCCTGCTTCTCAGAACTTTTTTTGCCTTGGCTATTGTTTCTTCATCTAAAAAAAACCAAAGCATTTTTAATAATCTATGATAAACTTTTAAAATGTAAAACTAAGGAAAAACCTGTAATTTTTATTTCTTTCTTAATGGTGTTTACATGCGTAAGTTACAACTTGATTCATCAGACCCCGGCTTATATCTTTTTAGTAGTTAAAAATAATTGGTATATTTTTCTCTTAGTTCCAATATACTGGTATTTCTCAAGGTTCTTCCCATTCTTACATGCTGGATTTTCTCTTGTATTGTTGAAAGCTGTCTGCATAAACATACTGCTTGAGGTGCCACTGCAGCCTAACCAACTGAAATTCAGAGACTCTTAATTCAGTGGATTTGGTTTTAATTAAGGAAAAAAAAAAGAAGAAAATATTTAGATTCTGGGCATTTAATAAGTTTTTATATACCTGTACAAACGAACATTACTTCTACACTTGTAATTTTAATGTCATTTTATATAAGCCAAAACTCTTATTTTTCTTCATTTTCTCTTGGTAGGTTAATATTCCTTCCAAATTTTCTTTTCGACTTCACTCCTTAATCTACTGTGCTTTCTCCGAGCCTCCTTATCCTTGGTAACTGTTGTCACATCCAGTAGTCCCTGTGGATGCCATGTATGAATCTTTCTTAACAGTAACATCGCTTAACGTATTTTAACTTTTTTTGTAAACATTCTTGAAAAATTTGGTTTGGCTTGAAACCGTTTAAATCTGAGAGCTAAAGCAAAGATTTTTGCAGAATTTAAAGGAAACTTAGCACATCTGCTTCGAGCCAATGCGCTGTTTAAAGATACTAGTTTCAAACTTACATAAGCGCAGCTTGCCTCTGTGTAATTATACATTTTGATTGAGTCTGACGTGACATTAAGTGCAGCTTTTCATAGTTTTTTGTTTGTTTTTTTTTCCCTTTCTTACAGATAATTTTGCCCACAGAACAGCAGTCCGGCATGCACTAGCCAATGACAAAGACTGGCAGGAAAAATTCATCGCCCCAGCTCTCCCCTTGATAGAAAAGCAGCACAATGAGGTTGCTTATCTGGTACCCTGGTGTCAGCTTGGGAAGCCTCCAAAAGAAGGGGGTGAGCTTATCTTCTGTTTTGCTGATTAAAGTTACTGATGCTGATGGATTAACAAAAAATGGCTTAAAGTTTAAACCAGGTATTCATGTGGTTTTATAACCCTTTATGTAACAAGTACATGTACGTGCACCCAAGTGAAAAGGTGACATAACACAGATGAGGGACAAAGTTTTTAAGAAGGATTTCACACTAACTTACGTCAGTAACTGCCTAGAGCCCTGATCATTAAGGTTGTAAAGAGGTGTGTGAATTGCTTAAATGAACGTCCAAAATGGCAATGCCATAGTAGCGGTCAGAGCAGGCATCGGAGACTTGCTTTGTCCGTCCATCAGTGAGAGGGCATTTCCTGGAGACACTGCAGATAACGATTGTTCTCTTTCACAGAGGTTTTTCTCTTTTATAAATTTGTTTTGATGTTCCTGCTTCCTTTGCAGAAAAGTTAAGAAAAAAAACCTACTTTTTAAAGATACATGCAAGTCAAGCATACTTTGTAACGATCATAGATTAGGTGTAGATCTGCTGTCCTTATGTATTTTAATTGTCTCTGTAGCAAATGTGGTAACAATTAATAGTATTTACTGTTCCCTGATTTATGAACATTTGCAGACTTTGTTGCATGGAGTGACATCAAACACATTTAGCCTTCACCATGTGCATACATATGGTAATCTTTGTTCTTTATTTCCCTGAGATGCTGAATTTTTATGCTGTTACAATTGAATTTGAAAGCATTCTCTTAAAACCGGACAGCTGACTTTTCAAACATTTCATTTCCGTTTTAGTTCATCTCCAGCCCATTGCTGGAGAACGAGACCAGACATACAGTGCCATATGGCAAGTGTCTAGCTTTCTATTGAAGTGTCAGCAGTTGTGACCTTGAATAACTTCCTGAACAGAAAGGAGATGGATAATGTGTCTTGTAGCAGCACTGGAGTTTTTTGGCAAATTATGCCATTTGTCTACAACAAGGGAAATGATTGTTTGGCAGAGCAGAGATGCTAAGCTGGTCCTGGTCTGTTGGTTGTGCCTTCAGATCTTGCTGTGACCAATTGCCAGGAGTCAAAGTGGTTTACAATGTCATAAACCACTTCAATGCCAGAAAACATCACCAGTCTTAAAAAAGACCACCCTGCATTGTTCAGTCATCAGCCGTACAAATCTCGCAAACATGTATGAGTATTTGTGATTTCTGTGAATCTCCCCAAACTTCCAAGCAACATTGAAAATTGCTAAATTGGGCTTTGTGTGAAGCCTTCTGTTCCTCAGGGTCCCAGTACTTAAATTTACACTTGAACAAGCTCCAGTTAGTGAGCTGCTTGCCTGTGCTGTTGTGAGCTCCTGGAAGCTGTGAGATGTTGTGCGTGCTGGCATGAAAGGTCAGTTTCGTGTCCTGCTGACCCCAAATGGCAGGGAATTGCAGTACTGATTTCAAAATAAATATGTCGTGGCCATGACACACTATTTGAGAACCAGCATATTAATTTGTATTTCATTCCTTGAGGTCATCTTTGCCTTTTCTTCCAGGAGTATATGAATGGGTTACTTTCCAGATGAAGCCTGGTGGGCCAGCATTGTGGGGTGAAGCTTTTCAAGCTGCAATCAACGCTCACATCAATACAGGCTACACCAAGCTGATTGGTGTTTTCCACACAGAGTATGGATTACTTAACACAGGTACTACTCAAATTTCTGATACAGACTTTGGCATGGGAAGGGGCAGAGGGAGGGGGCGAGCCCTTGTCCTTGATCAGCATTGGCCAGCTTGATGAAAATGTTGGTGTGGATCACCAAAGTCCTGTAAACAGTCCTTGAACCCAGCTTTGTGTGTTGGGTTATAGACTTAAACCAGGTGCTGCTATCTTAAAATCCTCTCAGATCTGATGTTAAAGAGTCGAACCTTTTAAAGGCTTGGCAAAAGATGATCCCACCACTGACTTGCCTGGAGAATTGTTTCTGCTAACTGCAAGGCATTGAACAGGTGAAGGCAGACTGCTAGGACTTATGGTACATGTTGTATTGTGGCATAACAGTATTCAGCTGACTTTATTTGTACTTTCTCAGTCCATGTGATGTGGTGGAATGAGAGCCCAGATCACCGGGCAGCGGGACGGCACAGTGCCCATGAAGATGCCAGAGTGGTAGCAGCTGGTAAGAGATGATGGATCCAGAGAACTCCCTAGTGTTTCATGCATGCTGTCAAAAGTATTATTTCTCATTGGATTACTGTCTTAAATATGCATTTAATTTCAGTGCGAGACAGTGTCAGATTCTTGCAGTCCCAGCAAAATATGCTCCTGATTCCTCTGCAATGCTCACCGCTGAAGTAGCTTTCTTCTAAAGGATATAACTGATGGCAGAAAGGAGAAGAAGAAGTGCCGTCAGCAAGTGCCATTACATGGATCATCATACGCTCATGAACTGAGCCGTTCTTCAGTTCACAATAAATGGATGCAAAATGCTGATCACTAACAAAGTGAATCCGTAAAATTTTGTACCCCGATAGCAATTGCTAAACAGAAGTTTATGGTGATGTTCCTACATCCCTAGGAAAAAGAATTCAAACCATATTACTTACAGCATGAACCACACTTGACCTCTCTTTCATTTTAATCTCTCAGTTCTTAATACTTTTCTGCATAGCTAGATCACTTACCAAACCTAATAAGTTAAGTGCTTTTTTCCAGCGTTACAGCTCAGGGCTGATATAATTTTTGTAACTTACTTTGGTGGCTCTTGTAATTATCACACCTTGGCTATTGCATACTGGTTTAAGAAGGAACGCCCCTACATATCCATTACCCGGTTATGTTTTAATCAGAGTTCTCATTGGGATGCTTTGTAATTAGTTCTGAGTAATGTAAAACATCAGTGTGGCTGGAATGGCATGTAGGAGATGTTGCCATGGAGCTGGTCAGATGGTGTGTCCTGATGAACTCTGCCACAAGACGAGCATTTATTCACTATCTTGTTATAGTTCACTTCAGCCCTTCCATTTTCTGTCCAGCAAACACTTCCTCAGAACTGTAGATGACACACATAATTCTTTGCCTTAGTATTTTAGTGTTTGTTTAGCATGCTGACGTTGATTATCCCTTCTTGTTCAACTGTGTAGTCAAACTCAGCTGATCTGCATATGCTTAAATTCATTGAAATGCTTTTTGTCAGGCTGTTAAAAGCCAAATAAATTTGTATAAAGCATGAGTTTTTAGTGTTTACAGCTCAAGCTCTTACTCTTTTAAAACTGTGAAATGATAAACCCCATTCTCCAAGTACAGCATTTTGCAGGTCTTGCATTTTGGTCAACAACAGACGTGACAGTAGTTGCTTTCGAGCCAGTAGGCTAGAGTGAATAGCAGCAGGGCAGAGGGCACAGGGGCTGAGAAGTCAAACTTGTATTTTGTGTTCAGTGGTACAGAGCACCCTCTTCTGCAATTTAAAGGTCACAAACTGGCACAGCACTCACAAGGCTTCCACAGGTTCATCACTGACCTGCAATGAGGAATTTATTTCACTTCTCTACTGAAGTATCTTTGTGCAGTCTGCCTAATGGTGATGATTGCTTCTGTGAAGTGCATTAAGATCTCATGGAAAGCACTAAACAGCTGTAGGCAATTACGCTTATGACCAAGGTGGGTGGATGGGATCCAGCTGCTGTAGTTAAGGAAGTGTAACAGGTCCCAGCTCCTATACCCAAGTCTTCATCCTCTCCTCTCTCCAACAAAGCCATCTTTAGCATTCGCAGGGTGGAACAAGCACTATATCAAAGACCACTGTGTTATATTTTACAAGTCAACTTTTTAAGGTATAAATGGCTGATAAACCATCACTCCCAAGTTGATTCAGAATGTTGCCTTATGACAGTCAACTGAAAGGAAGACTTTTTTTTTTTAATAAAAACATGGCTGAAAAATGGGACAGGGACTTAATAGGACTCCCCCCCCCAATGCAAAAATTAAGTTGTTTTATTGTTTACTGGAATAAAAAAGAGGTATACTAAAAACAGGTACAATTTTTTTTGTCAGTAAAGAATACTCAGGATGTTAGAGGTGTGCTTTAGTCCGAAGTTTGTTGTTTTCTGACAAGAGGTTGATAAATCAAGCACATTAGCCAAAGCATCAGCTGGACACTAGATTAAAACAGAAAAGCCAGGAAATTTTAATTGGCTTCTTATCTCACGATGAATTTTCCTGATGAGTGTAACTTCAAGAACTGGTTTGCTTCTAGAACTTAACTGGTTGATAGTGGGACTACAGGCAGTAGCATGCACAATTTTAACATCAGTTTTCCTTTGAGCAATTGGACCACTATTCTGCTTTCATTTGTAAACTGATGTTCAAAATCAACCTAGTATTAACTTGAATGATCTTCCTTTCATGTGATATTAGCTAAATTTAGGGTATTTCAGTCTTATACTCAACATTTTGCTTTGTCAGTGAAAATAAGTATAGGGTATTTTTATTAAAGAGGAGGCACAATTATCAATAGTTGCAACTTGCCACATCTTTGTAATGGAAATACTCAGAGGCAGGGACTTGACTTGGGATTTAAACTTCCAGGGAAGTTTGTTACGCTCTGCAGCTGGATTTGACAGTTACATGGATCACTTTTTCAGGACTTGCTGGAGACTTCCTTATTTGCTAACTTTAGAAACTTAAAGTAGCACTTGCCTTTCAAATCTTGCACCACCGCATTTGCCTGAAAATAGCATGTGGCCCATGCTAATTTGTAGAGATGCTGGAACCTGCTTGTACATTACGCAAAGTCCATAACAAAACCAAACCAGGCAAAATGAGCTTCTAACAGCCCTCCTCAAAAGCACATATGCAAAAATGACACTTTGAAGACCAGTGGTGCCACAAGAGCTTTATTTTTTACTTAATACAAGGCAATTAGAGTGCCTTTTAATACTTCACATAACAGTTATTAGCAAATACAAATATATATACTTTTTGCTTTTAATGAAAATGTCCATTTAAGGATTTAACTTAGAAATTTCAGTTGTGAAATCTCTCTAGATTTTTGCAAAGTTAACAGATATTCCAGTGCAAAAATAGATCCCATTACAGATAGCATAAAGTGCTTGGAATGAAGGACCAGCTGTAATTCAGGAGGGAAGGATAAGCACAAAGTGGTGGTTTAACCATGGGGAAAATACAACTCCATACTGAAATACAAATGTACTACAAAGAGGGATGCAACATGTCAATAGTAATAAAGTTTAAAATAAGTTAACACCTCAGTGCAGTTTCATTATCAAGAGTGGTTCATATACTGTATGTGACTCTAGAGTGATTTTTTCTGCCAACACACACTTAAAAGAGTAAATTAGTGGCTGGCTGAACTTACTCCATGACAAATCTTCATGTGAGAGTTGCATTACGCTGTCTGCTCAGTACAAACAAGACAGAGCAGAGCTGTTAAACAGTTTGGTTAATATCCATGTTTACTGCAACATTTTGTCACAGATAACAGACTCTGGATGAGCATGACAGTCTCAGGGCAGTAGGAATCAAGAATCTCTTTTTGGTGGGCTAAGGAAAGAGGATTATGATGTAACTTGTTTCCTGCTAAATTACTAATTTACATGAGCAGTTACAAAGGGCAAACCACAGCCCTTTCAAGACCAAATGTGAATCCTCCTAGAACTCGTTCTAGTTCTGCACTAGTTTGGTGCAGTGCAAAACTTAAGCCCTTCACTTTGGTGACTTAACGCTGATTTGTAATAGCGATTTTTAGCAGTAGTAAGCCTTCAATACATGCTACTTCTTTCAGCAACACAGTAACATACCTGCAGCCCCTTACAGAGAAGTCATGGCTGTAGCTCAGCTGTTTAGTAATTTTTCTGCACCTGGAAGTCTGTTGTATTCATCACCCTGCAACTCATCCCCATAGGGTGATGATGCCAATAAGGTAATAACAAAGCATGTTTTAAGTGAGGTATACCAATCCCCATTACACTCCTTTCTCAATCCCCTTAGCAATGTATTATACAGATTAAAAAAAAAATAGTATGAAAAAGGCACTTCAGCAGAGCATGTAGTAAGCTCTTACTTTATCCCAAGGCAGGAGACAGCAAGGACTGGGAACTTGTGCTAAATATTTAACTGTGTTTTAAAAATGCTGAATTGGTCAGTGTAACCAAGTATACCTGGAAATACGTAATCAGCCTTCTTCAGGCTCATGCCAGCCTCTTCACTGTTTGCTGGGCTGCTATGGGCATTCACAGAAGAAAATGGTCCATGACTGACTCATGGCGGAGTAGCATCAAGAACTAGTGTAGAACCTGTATGGGCATTTAAGGTGGAGGCATGACACGCAGGAATAGCCCAGGAACTGCACTTGGGTTCAAACCACATTACCAAACCTATTTCCGAATGTGAAAGCAAGACAGAGGGGCCCATAAGTGTACTAACAAAAGCATAGTTTTCCATGACTGTTGTACAATGTGAGCAAGAATGGGTTGTTCTTGCTATGCAATATCCCCTCTGATATTACTCTGGCTTTGTAAAATTTCAAAAATTGACTGATGTAACTGCAGCACTACTATTTTCAACTGTCTTATTCTTCAAGGGGATTTTTACTGAAGCAGTTTGTCACATGTGTAATCAGGGTGTATTCTCCAGTTCGGGATCACCTAATGACTGAAACTACACTGCACAACAGAAGCAGAAACTTGCACAGTAATCTAATGTTATACCACTTTCCAAACGGGAAAATTTTAGGTGAACAACTTGCAGTAATTGAACATAGCGGCTGATTGCTAGATTCTGAAACTTGGTCAAATCATGAATGTAGCTATCGCTGAATGGACAGAATGAGAGCATAGCATTTCAGGCATAATGCAAAGAAATACTGTGGCTACAAAAATCAACTGAAAGCACTTTCAATCCCTAATTATGCTACCTACCTATTTAAAGTCATAAATAATACTGTTTAAAAAAAAAATCTACATCTCATTTCTAGTTTTGTCTGGCAAAGCCAGCAATGGCAACATGCTTGTGCTAAGCAGTAACTTCAGATGATGGGTACCTTTCTGGAGCAAAGCAGGGGTTAAAGAGCAGATATTACATATCTGAGTGACATCTCATGATTTAGAATTTGCTCTTGGCATTAGCAGCTTGTACAACTACTGAGTTTGCTGCTGTGGTCCAAACCCTAGATCTGCTTCTCACCCACTTCCTCTTACTAGGTGTTCATGCAGCTGCTGCAGTACCTCAAAGGAGCAGGAGAGTACTTAACTGCACAAAAACCTAGTCAGAGTAGGTTATTAGTTGTGATGCTGGTGGGACAGTTCTGTGCATTTGCAGGGTTCACAGTTCTGCATATCAACACTTACTGATGGAGATGTATGGATATTATGGCCTGACCCTCACCATCCCATCTGCACAGTACTGCTT